CTCTCGTTGAGCTTGGAAAATTCGAGGGCCATTATTTCTAGTATATATATCACTCAATTCCCTCTAAATTTAGTGTGCAGTGGTGGCATATACACAACCAACTATTTCCTTTGATAAAGAATTTAAAATCCAAACTAATACCATATCATTGCATTTGTCTCATTAATCCACCATTGGTGAGTCTGCTGCAGGTCTTTTGCATGCTTTAGTCATAAATCGAAGCTTGCTTTTAGCTGATAAAGCGATTGTCATTGACCTTCTCCATCTTCCATAATTTTCTATCCCGAGAAGGACTTGATACACCAATGTTGTACCCAAACTATCTACATAATGCAAGAACAGCAGGTTGGATGGATCATTGAGGTCCTACTGATTCTTGTGTGTCTTTTGGGGTAGGTTGGAGGATTTGTCTACCATGATTCTAACAAAGAAAGGAGGACAAGTTTGGGTTGAGAAGTTTGAATCAGACTTACTCTAATACCATATAAAGAAAATAATATTTGTGATTAATCTTTCCTTTAGCTAGAATCGGCCTTTAAATAGAAATTACATCAAAGAATTTCCTAATTAAAATACTGTAAAATACAATAAAAAGTCCTAATTACCACAAATCAAGTTTAATTACAATAAATCAGTAAAAAAAATCTAAGTCTTAATATGTACTATTGTAGCAGCTCTCTCCTGCTTAAAAGATGTCGCATTTGGTCCATTCTCATAGAAAAAAAATTTTGATCCTTAAAAAACAAACCTATATATTTTCCATCCCTAGATACACCTATGCATCTTGGCCCTCCATATCAATGATCTTAGATTGCCATTAACCACATCTACAATGAAATATACTTAAAAGACTCAACATCATAACAATAGTCACTAAGATTTTTTTTTCCCAACAATAAAAGTATTAATATCAATTCAATTTACATGTTAAATAAAAAAAAAATCATAATCTTAAAGACATGCGCTCTACATTAAGATCAATATATAATTGTTGACTACACCTTAAAAAAAAACTTATTTAAACAACATGTCACTTTAAAGCTAACTTGCCAATATTAAAAAGTTGTTTATTTTCAACCTTTTTTATAGTAATTTTTGTTATATTGGTTAATGTTTTTGTGGTTTTAAGTTGTTGTCTTTATAATTATTTGCTTCTCTTTTGATATTCTTTTTTTTTTTTTTTTCTTCTTTCATTTTACCTGTTCCTCAAGCAAAACATTCAATGTTATCATGCAAGAGTTCTTTCTTGATTTTTTTTTTTTTTAAGGAGTATGATTCGGTGAAAAGGTTGTTAAATCGTTTCTTCTTTTGGAATTTTTTTGTTGGATTGTTTTTTTTTTTTTTTAATTGTATCATCCTAATTTATTTAGTTGGGATTTTTTTTTCTTTCTCTTACGCCTTTTTTTTATTTTTTTACCAATGTTTGATTTGTTCATGACCAAAAGAATTTCTTTGGTTTTTTTTTTTTTTTTTTTTTTTAGGTTTGGTGTGTCAATTTTTATAATAAAATATTACTAATGCTTGGGTCCTAGAGAATTGTTTCTTTGTTGAAATATTCAAATCTTTTGGCAAAATCATTTTCAACCAATTTTTATTTATTGGCCATTCTTCTCTAGTTTGTTTTCTCTTACAGTAATTCATTGCTAACGCGATGAGTACTTCGATTATGTGTTTTGATATGGGTAGTTATTGTTTATTTTTTTATGCTGTCATAGCTTATTTCTTTAAGTGATTGGCCTTTTTTACTAATTGTGGTCCCTTAATTTAGAACAACCTTACAACTTTTTTTCCTTGGCCATTTGATTGTTATGATTGCCTTCTTTTTTTTGCTCCTTTTGTTTGTGCTTGGGACCTAACTTTTTTTGTTTTACTCTTTCTTTGAGGTTTTTTTTAAAAAAATTTAGTTCTCCTTTTTGTCAAAATATATGATGCTTAGTTTCAGAAAAATATTTTTTTTAGATCAAGCCATGTCATTTGCTATCTCTATATTTAAATATCTATGTGTTTCTTTTTTCTTTTCTTTTTTTTACTAGAAAAGATTTGTGCTTTGTTGTGCTGTATAATATGTCTTCACAGTTTTATGTATGAAGATAATTTGAGCACTTTATATCTACCATCCTTTGATAAACAAATGTTATTTGACGTAAATGACCTCTTTCAAATCGATCATAGTGAGGCTGTAATTGTTGGTTTCAGTTTTGTTAAAATAATTTTTTCATAAATGCACAAAACCTTAAACAATTGATATGTCATTATTTGCGATCCGATATTATGAACCACTAGATCGATTATTACTAATGCTGCATTTTATTTCTTGTTTGTTTGCAGCATTCGAGCCTGAGTTTAATTTCCAATGTAATGAGATATATACAATAATCTCATTTATTTGAATCATTGTTTTTTTTTTTCCTTTAATCTATTGCTACTATTGTTGTGTGACTCTTTTTTTATTATTTAATTTTTTTTTTAGTAAGTAGCTTTATTTCATATGCATAGCTGCTTCTTTACCTATTGCGATACCATTATTTTTATTTTTTCCTTATCACATCATTGTGTGTTAATGTTTTATTTTTATTTTTTTCATATGCATAGCTGCTTCTTTACCTATTGCGATACCATTATCAATTGCTTTAGCTGCCTCAGGTACTTTATGTTTCTAGCCTTTTTTTTTTTTTTTTTTTTTTGAAAAAAGGTTACAATGTTACTAGTTTTATGGCCTTTTATTTTTACATTCTATTTTTTTTCATTGATTGTGCATAGCTATTTGCTAAATTGTTTCTACTTTAACTATTCTTTTAAATTAACTTATGTCTGTTATTTTGTTGTTTTTGTTAGGTGGAAAAAAATAAAAATAAATTTTTTTTGAGATCGGGCATTTTATGCATGATGGCTGAGATTTGATGCTAATTTAAACTTACAATAGATTTCTGTCACCAGACATAGAGATTCCATCGGTTGTGTTATAAAATTGATGTATTTTAGAAAATGATAATTAGTTAATCAATGGCATTGATCCTACCGTTGCCAACTCATGGGATACTGCGCCAGGATCCCATCCCACACTTGGGTCAAACAAACGGTCTTAATTTTTTTTACTTTTTTACCTCATAGCAATTGTTTTTACACCTTCATTTTTATGCTCATATCTGAATGCATTCTCTTTTTTAATGATATGACTCGATTCTTTTTTGAAAATATAGGTATCACGTCAATTGCATCATTACCTATGACACAATTGAAGCTATGATGTTGATCACGGGTGATAGTGTTGAGGCATTTTTTTATTACAACTATGGTTTCATTGACAAAAATACTGCCTCACATATTTTGTTGGATGCCATTGGTTGGACCGTATGCATATAGCAATGAGCGTAACACGAATATCAGTCCAGTATTTCTCTATAACATTAATCTGAACACATGGGTCAGGACTTTGGAAATACTCTGTGCCTTGGTCGATAGCAAGTACTTGGTTTCAAGTCAATTTCTTCTCCTTCTTAATCATCTATATTAATCGTCCAGAACTCCAATTTTTTATTGAATCCACCTGTTAAAAATTTAAATCAATTGGACACAATATTCTGAAATGAATTTAATTGTTAAAAACTTAACGATTTTCATATAATTGCAAATTAAATCTCAACTCTTTAGATTGTGTTTGGTATGAAATGAAAATTTTGAAGGAAAAATATTAGAATGATAAGATGTAAGGATAAAGTATTAAATCGTGAAGTTTTAAGGATGCTTGGCAAGAGTTGGAAAAATTATGGAAATAGTGAACTCCAATGTATATAAAATTAATTTAAAAATAAACATAGATAATTAAAAAAATAAGTAATATAGATATTTGTGTTCTAAAAAAAAAACGTATTTGTATCAAGTTCAAGGAGGGAGTGAGCACAAAAATCAAATTTTTTCTCCTTGAAAAAATTTTACTCCCCTTCATTAGAGGATAACACTTACCCTCATTTTTTTGGATTAAATGTTACTTGTCATAATTTTTCTCCTTTCGAAAAGTTATGTAGCAAATTAACAAGAAGAGAAGAGGTGAAAATTACAAGGATAACTTTTCACTTTCTTTTCCTCGTACCAAACATAACTTTAATTGCGATTTACCCAGATTTTTGAAATATAAAACCTCATATCTTCCGCCGCGGGGGGAGGGAGTCCATCTTTTCCACCACTGAATAAACAGCAACACAACCAAATGTACATAACTCCGATGATCAACCAAAGAAACGAAAGACAGAAGGTACGTAGAAGATCTACGCAACGAATACATAAATATTTGCCATTTCTAACCTATATTAAATGATATCCATTCATTTTGAACTCCAGAATTAGATCTAACATACAATCATAAAAGAAACTCAAAAACATTAAGCTAAAAGCTCAACATAAAACCTAACATTTTTGTTTATTGATAAATTTATGATGTTAGTATTATCATTATTATTTTATTTTAACCAGAAAAGTTTATATGAAATCAAGAACATTAGAAAATCACTCGGAATTCAATTCGAACTTCACTAATAGACGATATCTAACAAATCCATTGTTTAAATTGACCTCTCCCCCTCGATTGTGCTAACACATAGAGAGGGTGGCCGTATTTCATATTTGTCTCTTAGCTGAAGCTTACTTATGTTCTTTTTTCTTTTCCACAGAAAAATACAAGTATTTATTAGAGCTACAAGTATCTCAACAAATATATAAACAATTCCTACTGTCAAATGATTCTTCTTCTCTTCTAAGAATCGAGTCCGCTCGCCTTTGTATGGCAGATCCCCCAGAGAGATAGATACAAGATGAGTCCCCGTCTTCAAAGGAGAGGATTCACTGATCTTTTGCTGTGAAGGGAGCCTAAGAGTGGGCATGAATGTACAGAGTAACTGGCAACACACCATTGTAGTCCCAAACCTGATCCAAAGAAATACACAAAGAAATTTGGACCCCCCTTACACAAGCAAATCTTCGTACCACAAACAGATATCCAGTGCTTATTTCCTCTTTCCTGTGCCAATAGACAGGAGTTCAAAGCTCCTAAGTGCATCATCCCGACCACCTCTTGTGGCAGAAGAACGAGTAAAAGAAGATGATTTTGACTCAAACCCAGGTTGAATCCTTTGGGTTGTTGACAGGCGACCACTGCTCGAGACCAGCCGGCTTGACCGATTCTCACTAGGCTCACCAGAAGAGCTTGGCCGGCTACTTGACATGACAACCCTCTTTGAAGAGCTGCCATTTCGTGAAGATGATCGGGTCCTTTCTGAATCAGGATGCTGTAATAAGAGGAAAATAGCAGGGGCAGTTGAGAAGTACAGTTAAAATCTAGAGAAAAAGGGCAAGCAACTCAACCAGAAATAAAAGATAAATAATTTCTCTTGCAGCACTCACCACATCCTTCGATGATGGCACACCATCTAATGACCTGTGCCTGGACTGATCGCTGTGCAAAGCATGTCCAGAGCTATTCCTTCGAGCAAACGCCTCAACTGCACCAGAGAATCTGTCTCTGATTTCCTGGCCTACTGGATAAACATAAAATTGTATCAAACATGAGAAAGTAACCTAGGAATCTTTTTTGACAAGTGAGGGGGGCAATAACCATGAATAATGCCACTACATATTAAACCATATTGGGGAATACCAAAATTAATTACCCATTAATACTTCAGATATCATGTCTAGACATTCGTCCACACTTCGCTTGCTCAAAAGTTTTCTTTTTTTCAGGAAAAAAAAATTGTTTGCAAAATTACTGTTAACAAAAAATCAGAACAGACCTGAAGGCCGTTCTACTCTTTCTGCAGATGGTCCTGGGTTAACAGCTGGTTTGCCACTCGGCTGTTAAAAGAAGACAAGGAATCAAGAATAATTAGAAAGACTCGTTAAAATATTATTTTTCAACAGAAATGAGTTGCAACAAATTAAGGGATACTGACTCGTGATCTAGAACTGGAACCAATCTGCGGGTACTTCAACATAGTCCAGTCAAATACATGATCAAACTGATAGCCTGCAACAGTTTAGAAACCCAGATTAGGTTCTGAAATTTGGCAGAACTTGAAACTAACAAGTGAATTTAGAATTCCAGCAACATATTTAAAATCATAAATAACAAGTGAATAATAATTTAAAGAATTAAATATTCAGGAGCATGAGTAAACCTTCTCGAATAAACAAGTCGCGGAAAAGTCTCTTCAGGTATGAATAATCTGGTTTGTCTTCAAACCGCAGTGAACGGCAATAATGAAAGTAAGATGTAAATTCTGAAGGATAGTTTTTGCAAAGGACCTGCAAAGTAACCATTAATACTTCATATCCTACCAGCTTGATGACCATTTAATACGTTAATTAAGACAAGCTGATACTTAAGTAATTCTCCCATTGTGATTTTGTACCATATGCTACATCATGAAAAACAACTACTTGGAGCAAGCAGTTTGCAAAAGCAAATAATGGTACCTCTATAGGAGTAAGCATCTTCTTTTCACTAATCTTGTCATACTTCTGTTTTTTTGTGCCAGCTTTCAAGCCCTGCCATGGAAGGCTGAAACAGAGAAATCATCAAAAGAAAAAGGATCAAACATGTGTTAAGATTTAAAATAGGACGATAAAGCAAGTCAATTAAGTTTTTAACCTTCCCCTCAAAAAATACATAAGCACATAACCAAGAGATTCCAGATCATCTCGTCTGCTTTGCTCTGCAAGAATAGCATAATAATAAGATCAAATATAAAGTGGGATTAAATTTGAAAATGTGATAGCAAAATCCAATAGCCATCTTATAGATGCAATCAGTTCACTCACCAACTCCAAGATGAGTATTAACACTAGCATAGCGTGCCGTGCCTGTGAGATTCTTGTTTTCCCTGTAACAAAAATTTATAGACATTCATGACAGACAATGGAAAGAGGCTTGAAAAGAGGAGGCGAAAAATTCATCATTGTGTTGGTATATTAGAGAAAAGAGGTGCAACAAGCATGTGTAGATAAAAACTATGATACATGGTGACATTGAATGCTCCCAGGCAAATGGGTTTAAAGGAATAAAAACATAAGCAAGAAATGGTTGACTGAGCAACTCTACAAAAGTAAGCAACATCACCAACAACAGCATCCCTAGCACTGCCCTTTTTTTAAGGACAAGATTCAAATCAAAAGATTTCCCTGAATTACAGCTTTATAGCGTAAATAATAGAACCCATCTGAACATGCATGAACAATGCATTCACAACTAGGCTGTTATCAGCAATAATAATGCTAGATTCAATTTTTTTTTTCTTTGCATTATTTTTTCACCAAATTTTTCAAGTTCCCATTCATACATTCATAAATAATCTCTTGTGATCAAAAGTAACTGGAATTTGTTGATCCTAATTGTCAATCACAACTGATGGAACAAACCATGCATGAACTGATTAGAAACACAGTAAACTAATCATGTGTGGTCCTGCTCTCAAGACTCATCGAACATCAAAATCTCGGTTCCAAGACCTCCATTTACTTCTGAGAAAAACAACAAATTGCTAAACCTTCCTGACCTTTTTTTCCCCCCTTGAAATAGACTAAAACATGGCTAGGTCCCAACCCATAATAGAATGAATCCTCACAAATTATTGGGACTCTTCGTGAATGAATAATCCTAGATAAGTATGTCTTCCTGAGTAGTCCTGACTACCACATTATAACAAAACCATGGGTATGCACATTAAAACATAGAATACTTCATGTTTGCTCCACCTGGCCATAAGTGAAAATATATGAACAAAAAGCAAGAGCTGGGAGGGAAATAAATTTGCATCATCAAACCAGTGGTTCAAGAATGGTAAGGATACAGCATCCAAGAACATAAGAAATACAACACTTTACCTATATGGTATATGCTTGTGTGTTTGCAGATCCCTATACTTTTTTGCAAGGCCATAATCAATGATGTAGACCTGTGCTTTAGAGAAGGTGTAGCAAGAAATCGATCAGCAAAACTATTAGGGCGGCCTGCGATATATGCTAAATAAGAAAACAAAACTAGATATGCTTAACAGATAGAAGGTCTAGGGTTTCACACAGCTACGACATTCAGTAACACAGCACAAGATTAAATACTGCTTTACAAGTCAACCTCAAGTAAGCTTTGTACAATGACAACTGCCACTCAAAAAGCAAAGGCCTAATTTCTCTTCCAAAGTCCTCAATGCTTTACCCGACGAAATTCAAATCTAAAACCTTCTCAATTACAACAAGGTTTTTCCTCATGACATATTTACATTGTCCACTCAATTATGAATTAGTAAGTTCTCAGCTTCACAATATCTAGCAATTCTATTTACATTGATTCATAAAATAGGAAAAGGGACATACCTGATTTGCTTTGCGCCCTAGACCCATCAAAAAGTTGTCAGGCTTGATGTCACGGTGAAGAAAACCCCGTGAGTGCATATATTCAACTCTATTTATCTACATAAAAGAATGATGAAAGAACAGAGTATATCAGCTACAAAAACACATGTCTTTCTTAACAATTGGTATGCTGTTCAATGAGGCAGGCCTTTCTTAAAAATGGGCATACTTACTAATTGATCTGCAAGCATCAGCACAGTTTTCAAAGATAACTTCCGATTGCAATAATTAAACAAGTCTTCAAGGCTTGGTCCAAGAAGGTCAATAACCATGACATTGTATTCACCCTCAACTCCAAACCATTTGAGACGAGGAATACCCGCTTCACAACGATTAAGAAAGTAAAAATAGGAAAGAAGATAAACAAATTGATTTTGGCTCAAGAGACAATCAACTAACAACAGAAAAGATGAAAGAAGAAAGACACTTACTTCCTCCTTGAAGGAGCATGTATAGTTTTGATTCATAATGAAGCTGAGGGTGCTTGGTTTTCACGGATTCCTGGGGAAATCATAAGAATATGATATGTATCAGCTACAAAATCAAAAGTGAAAATTGCACTGTATTATAACATTAAAAAAATGTCAAACATGAATCTATAAGATTGCATCCTCAGATTTAAATGAACAGAAAAGGCCAGATTTTCATTTTAAAAGATCCAGTCAAAACAATTCCTGAGCAGGCTTAATACCACAGCAGGCAAAAATTTTCCCTCAATTAGTACAACATGCAAAGTGCAAACCCGAGAACAAATCAACTGCAAACTCAAAACTCTTTCCAGCATCTTTTGCTCACAGTAACAGTACATGATCAAATGAATAGAATTATTCTTCTACGCTTCTAATGGTTACACAAAATTACCTAAAGCATCACTGTTGAGAAGCTTTCACATCTAAAATACAATATTAGATGTTTCCAACGAGTTCAAATAAACCCAAGTCCAAAGCTAGTCAGAGCAGGGTACAAGGAATCGCAAACCAAAAAAAGGAAGAAAAAAATTCCGGGATCGTGGTGGCTTTAAAAACATAGTAGAGAGAACCATTTAGCATGCCACTGAGAGGATGATTCGGTAATATGAACATAACAAATTAAATAAGGAAAACAGTAACCAGCTAGTAAAACACCAAGAGAAGTCTCCCACTTGGATAGCCAAATTCATAAACTATCTTAACTGACAATCAAAATTTCTGAAAACCAAAAGAACATTTGAAAAAAGGAAAAGGAAAAGGAAAAGGAAAAGGCAAAGGAAATTTTCCCCATCATGAACTATAAATGGCTACTTTTAAGGGACGGAAACAAACATAATCATCAGCAGTCCAATACATCCGAAGATGAAAGTTTAACTATTATCCAGCAATACATGAATCAAGAAATAACAATCGATAAATAAATAAATAAATAATTGCTAAAGATGCAACACCTACCAACTTAACAGCCACTTCCTCTCCACTCTGTACATTAATACCTGCAAACAAATAAAGAGAAAAAATAAAAATTAATAAAAATAACAAAAACCCAACTAAAGACACAAAAAGGAAAAGAGTGATCAAAACACTTGGAATGCTACTAAATAAACACTAAACTTGCGTACCTAAATAAAGTTCACCAAAGGATCCACTACCGATCTTCCGGCCAAGCTTAAACTTGCCACCGATCACATGATCCATGATCTAACAATCTCAATCAAATACAATCCACCAAACAAATATAGAAAAAAAAAAGAACACCCCTTTTTTTTCTTTTTAGTTCACGATAAAATTCACCAACTAAAGAGACCTAAACTCTTCCCTTGTTGAAAAACAAAACAACTCCCAGATCACAAAAAAAGAACACTCTCAATGATTCAATAAATCCCTCAAATTTGAAAAGAAATTATCTTTTTTGCAATCCAATCTACTTAGTAACCAAGCAAAGTAAGATGCTACTTAAAAAAAATCTAAGAAAAACCCATTAATCAGGGAAAGGTAATTAGGGTTTGGTAATCACGAAACTGCATTATCTCGAGAAAGTGAAGAGAAAAGAAGTAGATAGAGAAAAAAGAAAGTAAAGTTTTGGAAAGAATAAAAGGCAGAAAAAGAGAATTTTTTTTTTCTTTGGAGAGAGAAAGAATAATAATAATAAAAGGGGAGAGAGAGTATGGAGTGGCAGCGATATGTGCGGCAAGAATTTGGGGAATTTTAAAGATCTGGGTTAAGGACAAGGATTGAGTTTTCTCGGAAAATTTTGAGATTCTGGGAAGAGAATAATACTAATATAAGAGAGAGAAGGAAATAGTGATGTGGTAAAAAAGAAGATGATTTTTATTTTTTATTTTTTATTTTTCAATAGCAGTTGTTATACCTTAGTGGCAGTAAATAATCTTTACTTGTTTGGTAGTAAAAAGGATAAGAAGGTTATTTTTGTTTGGTTGCCAAGAAAGTTCGGGAAAGGATGAGTTTAAGAATATTTTTAATTATTCTTTGTCTTTAGAACGAACGAGAGGGATGCACGCACCACCATGCAGATGGAATAAAATAGATAAAATTATTTAAAAAATATATTATTATGATTTAATAGTTTTTACTACTTTATGGATATGATAAATCTATTGAAATCAATATATATATATATATATATATTTACCTAATTTTATGATTTTTTAATAAAAATTTTGTATTCAACTAATTATTTTTTGTGTTTTATAAAAGACTTTTTTCTTAAAAACATGATTTATTTTTTGTTATGCATGAATTCTTAAATAAAAATTTATAATAATGTAAAAGGTAAGTTTTAATTTATCATAAATCCTAAAAAAATATATGTATAAATTTAATTATTTATTTTATAAAATTGTATTTAGAAAATAAAGCAATAATTAATTTAAAAAAAATGCTAAAAACTTTAAGATTTAAATTTTTTTATACAATATTGATGAGAAGATGAAATTTTAAAAATATGTATATTAGGTTTATATACATATATTTTTTTTAAATAATAATAATAATAATTAAATTTAAAAAAGTGCATAAAAAACTCTTTTTAAAAAGTAAAGTACCATCGGGTGTTGTTTTTAAAAAAATATTTTATTTATTTATTTTATTTGAAAAAATTGATTTCAAAACATTCATTTAAAAAAATGTAAATATTAAGCAGTTTTTTTTTCTTTTTTTATAAGAACAATCAATTTGCAACTAAAAAAAAACTTATAAAATTAATTTTGATATTTAATTTTATTATAAATAATACAATAGCAATTTTATTATCCTTTTGGCTCTCAAACATTTGTTTAAGTGAATTGCACATAGCACAAATAAAAAAAAACATAAAATCAATATAAAAACATATAGATTTGAACTATTATTCAATGTAGAAAAAAATCTTCAAAAACAAAACAACTCATCAAATTGAATTTTTTTTATAAGATTGTATCAAGAAAATAAAGCAACAGACTTTTTAAAAAAAATTGCATAAAAATTTTAAGATTTAAAATAAATCTTTATAATATTGATGAGAATATTAATTTTTAAAAGTATGTATATCAAGTTTATTATATTAGATTAAAAAAAAAGCACTTTTTAAAGAAAGCATAAAAGTGTTTTCGAGACTACAACTTTAGATACAAAAATAAAATCATCATATATATATATACTCAAAATAATAAATAATATTAGAATAAAAAAACTCTATTTAAAAACTATGGTACAATTAGGTATTGTTTTTAAATTTACTTGAGATGAACTGATTTAAAAATATTAAGTATTTTTTGTGTATATGAACAATCAACTTGCAATTGAAAAAATAAGCAATATTTTTAAAGAAAACATAAAAGTGTCTCCACATTGCAATTTCCGACACAAAAATAAAATCACCACATCATATTTATAAAATAGTTTAGTTTCTTATACCTAATACAATTCTTTTTAATACACTCTTTTTATATAGGTTAAGATATTTATATGAAAAAAATTAGTTAAAAATAATAATGAAGGAGTTCATTGAATTGCAAAGTAAATTATAAATTGGTATCTCTTGTTTCGAGAAATTAATTAATTAGTCTTTTTAATTTTAAAAACTAATTATTTAATTATTTTAAGGAGTGTTGACCACGATAATTTTTCTTAATTATAAAATATCATATTTGTTTATCAATCTTTTTATATTTTCACTTATTTTTTATTTCTTTTCTATATGTTAAAGAAAAAAATAAATTAAATTAAAAAATAGCAAATAAAATTAAATAATCAGTTTTTTAAATCATAGAAACTAATTAATTTGCTTGTGGAAACAACTAGGACTAATTTATAATTGATTCTTGATTGCAATTGCTAAAGAGGAAAAATGTAATGAATGACATAAGCATTAAATGCTCTATCTAAAGCAAATGTTTGACAAAGAAAATGACCAAAAAAATAATAATAAAGAAGCAAATTAAAAGTAAATTAATCAAGGATAAATGTGAAATTTCATAAATTCACTAAGTGGCATGATAGAAATTAAGAGTAAAATAGAAAGGCCTTTATATGCAAAGTTAAAAAAAAAAAAAAAACAGAGAGAGAAAAAACAATAGCAAGCAAAACCCAAAAACCGAATTAAAAGAAAAAAAAATATGATATGAATAGTTAAAAGAGAGAGTGTAAACAGTTTAACAATAGTGAAATTCTCATGCCTTTTAGTTTCTTTTGTAATTATCCGGACGCTAATTAGTGAAATGGGATGGGTTTTTTTTTTTTTTTTTTTTGTCAAAGACCACCTAAAAAGAAAATTGTATTCATGTTCCTTGCTTTCTTTACCAACAAAATAATTGAGTGATGCTTTTTCCTTCTCTTCTTATTCTTTTCATTTGTAATATTTTTCTTTATCTTTTATGTCATGGCCTCTTATCTACATTTGGATATAATTCTTTATAAATGAAATATTCATTTTTAGTTTTTTTTTTTTTTTACCATCATATATTTGATTTCATTGGTGAAATTTGAAGAGGTAAACTTAATTTTTGTATATACTTGGATTTTTTTATAAAATTAATTAACTTAGTTAATTTTTATTATGTGTTAATATATGTTAATTTGTTTTTTGGTTTGGATATCGATCCAAACTATCCCACAAATATATTGGATTGAGGATGAGTCTCGCTCAACATAAGATCTTGATTTTGAAGATAGACATCGATATTCTAACGAATCGGTGTTCATGTTTTGTCAATTGAGATACATTAAGGAGATTGATTTGGTGGACTCATAGTAGAATCTACTAAAAGAATACTTAATTATTATTTTATTTAACATGTACTAGTAAATTCAAGCGAGTTTAGCCTAAAAAGACTTAGATTTTTCAATTCAAATCTAAGCGTGTGTTTGATAATCTATTTAAGTAGTTCAAAAAATTAAGTTGTAATACTTAACATAAAATTGTTGTTTGATAATCTAAATAATCTCATTTTTAAAATTTAAATTCAGTTAAAATCTACATAATTAGGTAAGTTAAAATTTTTTATTAACACGCTTAATTAAAAGATTTTTAAAAATGTTTACATATGACTATATGTTCCACCATAAATATTAACAAAACCCTAACCTTAACCACTAGCAACCTTACCTTCTTCCCACACTCACAGAAGGAGATGAGACCACCACTTCACATTCAAATAACATCGGCAAAAGCACCAAAATGGGTCGAGTCCGTACAAAGACAAGTGAAGAAATCTTCACTCCAATTTGATAGAACCCTACTATTTATGCATGACCCTTGATTTTCACACCAACAAGAAATTGCTTGAAGATGCAACAATCCTCCCATCAAAGTGTCTTCACAATAAGATTGTTGGGTTCTCCACCCACTTAACATATGATTGTTTTGTAGAATTGATTTTGTTGTTTGTTATTTGGATATGGGTAATGTTGGTTTAGGAGTCATTTAACATATGGATGTTTTGTAGAATTTATTTATTTATTTATATACGCAAACACATCTATATATTTTTTTTATGTTAAAAAATATTATTTTATAATTACAAGGTTAAAATAGTCATCTATATAGTCTTAATATGTTCAACAATAATACTTATCAAATAACCTTATTATATTCCATACTTAATTTTTAGTAAATACCAAATAGCTTGTTAATAACATATTTAGTATTTAATTATTCAACATTTAAAATTCAATACTTAGTAGCTTTAGCACTTAATTTTTAATTTTATCAAATACCACCTAACTTTCTAGATCCGAATGACATAATTTAATTATAATGGTCGGTGGTCATTTTCTTATAATATAAATACTAATTTCACATCATTATAAAAAAGTAAAACTTTTAGATCTTTAGCAAATTTCTAAAACCCTATCTCTCTCAAAACTCCATCATCGATCACACATGAGATAACATCTAAATCTCTACTTGTTTGGACTTTGACTACAAATCTATCCGTCATTTGACTTGCACTTTGCTAACATTGTATGTTTCTCCTTCCACACCTCTCATAATGAGTATTTTTTTTATTGGTTGACCATTATTTCTATAACTCATAATATTAACTCTTTATATCCCGACTAGTCTATCGACCAATCGTCTATCAATTCTCAAAAACCCCTATATATTTTGACAACTCCGATAAGGATTGACAAGCACCGTTTATCATAAAGGGGACTTGCGAGCACCGCTCGCTACAAAGCAAAGTGACAAGCATTGC